TATCTCGGATACGCTAACCACATTCGAGTGTGATTCACCTAGGGATCTCATACACACGTACGTTCGTGCTTATGTTGTGTGTGGAGTAAATCATTGGCCGCGTCAAGTGATAAAATTACCGGAAATGAAGATAGTCAGTCGACCAAACGGCCTTTCCGCAAACAAGCGTCATTATTGGGTGAAAGTGGATGACAGGTTGGCCTTGAGGAACAATACCGAGGAACTGGACTGTATCTATCCCAGTTTGATGTCGTTGGTGGATCATTTCCACCTATCCACCAAGCGCACGATGTTCACTGTAGAACGGTTACCTACCCCATTCATCTCTACGGTTCCCCCGGGATTGCACCCAATTTCTTCAGTTTTTGAAGCAGGTGCGGTCGGTTTGAAGTGCAAATATTCTGAAAACCACAGAATAAGTTCAATAGCGCGGCGCCAGGTCAGCCTACTTCGCTACTGCAATAACGGAGCTTTTTCTCAAGCATTTATTCACTCACTGTTTTATGCAATGAACGCAGCGACGTAGTTCCCCACCTATAGCAAAAAGTTGAGTTTGTACTAAATTTTTCAAGACAAAAAACATAAGTGGCAGGGGCATGTCAAGTTACATGATTATTCCATACCTAATTTATTTTGCATGTTGCGCAGCTTCGGGCACGTACACTAGCAAGTGCAGTACCACGTTTTTTTATAACAAGTTAAATATATGAAGAGCCGGTGAAACGGAGTAGGTGATCGTCATCGGACAGAGCGAGACTTTTAACTGCAATCGGACTCATCACCATCGGAATTTTATAGGTTGTAAAGTGCGAACATGGATCATCACATGAATGCCTCTGTCGTTCATAGCTAGTAGTGAATAACTTTCGTTAGCCTGGTTTAGTTTACAACAGACCACAGAACTCAAGTTCTTTAGTGAGCGGGGCTAGGATTAATGTTTCCGTAGGTATTAAACTGAAACATTATCGCCTTCAACTTAAGCAGTTGTATACCTCGTAGAACAAGGTGGTGCATTACGATTCAAGAATATCGTGGGTCGTTCGAATGGGGCGTGCAATTAATGTTTTGTGGATTACACCATTCGCAGTGATCACTATGTGATGACCGGTTGGGACAGTTGCCTTAGTATTTTTCTTCAAATAATGCCAGAACTAATTGGTTGTTCAAAAGAAAGGGTCAAACCTCGATTAGTGGGAGCGATAGAAAAAATGCCTCCCCAGGTGAAACCAAACCAGAAAATTTGACCAGTCATCAATAATGCACACGGTGGCAACCTCATCATGTGTTACGAGGGCCCTTTCATCTAATCGATTTGTATCACTCCCTCATACTAGAAGCAAATGTTAATCATCTAATAGGGGAGAAGTTGCTTTAATAACCATTAGGAATCGATCGGTTGCCTTGGTTAATTCGTGGGTATTGCCAATAAGTGGGTGCGAAATGTAAGTGGTGATGGTAAATAGCCAGAAGCACAGCAACATCACAGGTTGTACATAGCAAAAGTAACCAGTGATGATAGGCGTAACGTGGTTATGGAACCATGGGACACAGAAAGTGGAATGCCATTAAAAACACCCAGCTTTCATGAATAGCCTGGTCGTGCAAATACTGTCAAGTAAATCCTGCTTAACCGTTGACTGTAAACCAAACCGTTAAACAAGAATGTAGTCAGCGTCACCAAACCAAAAAACTTCCACAAAAATCCTTTTCATACAAGCAGCAGGTAAGAGTGAGACGCTCCCTTGGAGGCATGACGTATCCACAATGGCACCTGTTGATAAAGCGCTACTACGCGAATGGCTAACCACAGCTATTTTCCGCCTCCGTTTGTCAGGAACACCAGGATTTATGAGAAACTAGTAGGCAATTATACCCATTATCAAACAAGCTCTCCATTAAATGGCACATCACACATTTGGTTAACGTTCTAGTTTTACGTCCAGGTTCTTTGAAGACCCAAAATGTGGCAGTGTCGTATGCCACCTCATTATCCAGTAAAATTTAGGGCTTGATTGTGGCTTCCAGGCTATTGGTGGTGACAGTGAGCAGTCCCGCAAGGACATTAGTTGTCGACAATGGAGATGGAATGATACATTTAATTATTTGGAATCTGCAGCAGGTACTGCAGTTATGGAGCATGCGTATGCGACGTCACTTCTCGACCCTAGCTTATACCCCCATAGAATTCCCACAGCACCGTGCCATAAAATCCGTGTGTCGTAGAACAATGAACTCACCAGTTCATTCAGTGTTAACCTACATTTGGGAAGTGTTATAGGAAACAAGAGATCTGATAAATAATTTGCTACTCACTCATTACGGCTCGCAAACTCGGTGCGGTATTAAATACGTTGCATATGCAAGTTGATGACAATCACCCAAGAGGGAAAACAAACGCCTGATAAATGGCACACTGAAGATGTGGTCGTTAAGAGCAATGCCACTGCATCCGTTTCACTGCAATCGTACATGTGCGTGTGAAAACTAAAGTCGAAATCAGTAGCCTATAAAATCTCACCCACCGAACCAGTATCGACTGACGGAGGCCTGTAGACGACTAGCTCATCGTGTTAACCATACGGGTTGGCTTAGGGGCGAGAACCACGCAACTCATCACGTGCTCTTCATAGTAAGCGCAATCCATCCTAGTGAATGGCCTCTAGAGCACCAAGTGGTTTGTGACCAGTATCAATCGTACGATCACCCATTCACCTGGTGCAATGAGGCGCCCAAGAAGTGTAGTCGATTTTTAGCGCCTTTTCACAAAGCTACAAACATCGCGGGACGACACTGAGGCAACTTAAACTAAACTGCAGTTCTGTGGAAAGCACTTGTGGTTATTTTCGTACCGTGTAGCAGAAAACGCTTGGTGTTTTGCTTCAAACCAGAAATAAGAAGCATCTTTGCATACGTCAAAGCGCGTTCTGGTTAGAGATTGTGTATCTCAAATTTACGCCCTGATATGCACCGATTGCTTGAGGAAACTTTCACACGTGGAAGGAAAGGAGAGAAACAACTGTTGACCTCGATCAGTTGAATCCATAGTCCAATTATCCAACTGACGTAGAGCGCCATAACCTTACTCTCTCAGATTCCATTTTAAATACCTTATAGCTGCAGACTGTATCCTTAGGTCTGAAGTTTTGTGATGTATATGCTGGTGATAGGTAACTACATCCTAGGGCTTCGTTTCAAATATCTGTATGCCCAAACACAGGGGTTGACCTGTTCTGACGAGGACTGAGGCACGGAAGATTTTGGCATGGGTCGGTTAAAATAAACAAACCCCTTCTGACGATGACAAGTCGCGAAGCTTTGAAGCAACCAAAGAACGATGGACATGACCCTGTCTGAAACAGGGTCTGCTGAAATGACGGGATCAGCCAGCAAGATCGTATTTGTTCTCAGCAACACCACAATTTATTTTGAGCTCAAAAGACATAACACACACAGCAGAGTTGGCTTCGGTTGTTGAAAAATCGGTTGGCAAGCAAAGAATAAAGTATTTGATAAAATCGACCCTATTAAATTGTTTTTGGGTTGTGTGGTTTGCCTAAACTGCACAGGCCTGGTGTTCCCTTATACCTCGTTGTGCATGTGTATCTCGTCTTCTAATTGTGTAGCCAAATGGCTACGTTGTATTCCCAAGTCGACTGAGGATTTCATAGCGAAACGCTTCGGTTGCTGCGCTTGCCAGTATTGAATGCACACAAACCCAGACAGCCTCTATCTAAGATATGGTCACTGTTAGCTTATGTAAATGCAAATATGAAACAACACGGTCGGAAAACATGAACGTGTGCCGTCATCATTTTGCGACCTACAGTAATGTGCACTACTCACATCCCGGTCCACCCCAGACGCAAACTTCGTAAGCAAGCTGTGTAAACTAAGTGAACAGGTCCCAACTGGTAATTGAGAAAAATCCCGCCACTTCTTAGTTTCTTTACGATCGTGCAATCCCCTCGTTCGGCACTTATTAGTTTGTTTTTTGAAACACACTGAGAAGCCGCTTTACCGATTGAGTAACGTCACAGACTTCGGTAAAAAGATTGGGATGCATATTCGATCATAAAGTGGCGAATCAGACTCAAAAAAGTCTTACCAATGGCTGAAGCTCTGTGGAACAATCCTACAGACCTTGATTAGAGCAACTAAACCTACCACTGTCAAGTCCGTCCTCATAAAGAGTTCTCACAATTTGTTGCAGCATATACAAATTATATGATCAGGCTTGGTGGCGATATTCTGATGGTCAAGTTCAGCAGTCAGTAATGACAACCCTTGTTGGAGTTGACCATGATCCGACCGCCCATCCAATTTGCATACACAGGTCCACCACTGGATGTGATTTAGTCTCGGTTCCGTAACCCTTAATGCTTCACTGCCTGCAGGTATTACGATGAGATTATCCACTTAATCGATACTATCATATTTGCGCATTTGGTCCAAACCTCAATTAGTTTATCACTGAACCACCCACGGTAGGAAAAAGCTTCCGCCACCATCACCACGACAGTAATACACCACTAGCAGAAAAGTGTGCTTAAATCCTACACTACCGGATAAAAAAAATCCCTTGCGAAAGATGAAAGAAAGAGAGTGGAGGCTTACTGCGAATTACTGTCCCTGTAAGAACGTCCAAGAACGATGTGCTCGCACTTCCTAATAACATTGCGATTAAAACATTTGAGCATCATATCGGAGCAAGATGCCGTAAACGGGGATGACCTAACGCCAATGCCTACTGCGAACCTCATTCAACACAAGCCCAGCGCACGACAGACAGGTGCTATGCGCAAATTATTCTACTTAATTCGTTCGACTGGTCCTCGGAAACCTCTTGTCAGTGAAACAATCAGGGACCCAAATGGCTCCCTGATATGCAACGAAGCAGAACGTTTGGACTGCTGGGCACAGTACTTCGAACAGCAATTCAGCTGGCCACCTGCTACCCCCAATCCGAAACCCGGCCTTCAACAGAAAGACGGACCGTAAATATGGAGCCGCCTTCAGTCTCAGAAGTGTCCGAATGCATTTCTCTACTCAAGCGTCATCGTGCTGCTGGTCCTGACGACCTTCCACCTGCTCTTTTCAAGGATGGCGGTAGATTTCTCAGCCAGTGCCCGTCTAGCCCATTTGGGTTTATCTGGGAGAAGGAGACCGTCCCAGACAACTGGGGTGAATCGATAGT